AGATCCCTTGGTGGTCTAAAATCGATAAGAGTAGGCTTCGGCCGCCACCCGGGCAAAATTCAAAATTTCCTACCAACTGAAAATATTAGGTGTGTCCAGCGCGCTCATATGACCTTATGCAGTTGCGAGCGCCGTAAAATATTTACCAAAAAATAACCAAAAAAAAACAAATAACCTAATAGTGTTGGTAAGGGCATTAAACACCCCAAAACTTATTTTACAGATGCCGTTGTTTGTTGTTGTTGTTGTTTCTGTTTTTGTTGTCGTTGTTGTTGTTGTTGTTGTTGGTGGTGGTGGTGGTGGTGGTGGTGGTGGTGGTGGTGTAGCTATTTATGTTGTTGTTGCTGTTACTATTGCTGTTGTCATTGCTGAGGTTGTCGCTGTTGTTATTGTTTTTGCTGTTGAAGATGCTACTACTGCTTTTCCGTGTCTTTGTAATTTTAAAATATAGTGATTTAAAATTATAATTAGTGCCCGACTGTATATTCTCTAGCTCTCCTTAGAAGACTTTTTTGACAGACTGCTGTAGTTATTAGTATTGGTGTCATCATTACGTACTTAGTTAAGTTTTGGTTCTCGAAAGTCGTACATATCTTTTCTAAATGGGTTGTTTTGACATCAGAACTTTGAAAACCTGCATCCATGAAAAACAACGTACTCCAGTAAAAATGCTTAATAGTGTGCACTCATTGAAAATTAATTAAGTTAAAAATTTGAATAGTACACATCCATTAAAAAATTATAAATGATGTGCACTTATTTTTAAAATATTAAAATGCACTTATTATAAATACTACAAAGAAATATTGCACATTAAGAGCACCGAGTACTATAAAAACACTAAACGGATAATCTAACTAATTTTGTAAAAACCTTTGAAGCTGCACTCAGTAAAAACTGTTGGATAAAACATATTATGCTTTAGACATTGTAAATACTTTGCATTCATCAAAAATGTGCTTTCATTTATAATAAAAACAAAAACAAAACCAGTACAAACAGTGACCAAGAGAGTTAATTTTATTTATATTTGTTTATCTCAAGAAACCAGTTTTGTCATCAGATGGTGTGGTTTGGTTCTTCTTTCCTAACAAAACATACATCGTCTTCATCTCTCCTCCATCTATCCCTTGTACGAGAGGCAAGTTGGTTTTTTTACCTGACCATAAAGAAATAAATGTAGAAAGCTGAAATGTGTGGTGAAAGCCAACAATCATCGTCTTAGAATGCTTGTAAATTGTGGGGAATATCCAATTACTGGTTTTACCAACAGTGCACTGTAAGTGAATGGGTGTATGTTGTTCTCCAGTTTCAATTTAAAAATTTAGAAAATTGAGCACAATGCAGTAATGAAGTTTTTATTCTCGCAAGGGAAGACACTACAAAATATTTTTACGGAAATGCATGCCGTAGATCTTTATGAAACTGATTGCCCAATACATGCTGTTATAGAACTTTGGTGTAAAAAAATTTTAAGCGGATTCATGGACATTGAAGATAACCACCGTGATGGTCACCCAGTGGCAGCAACAACAGAAGAGAATGTGTTGAAAATCAAGAAACTTGTGCTGTCTGACAGGCGAGTGACAGTCGAACAAGTGAGCAAAGAAACTATGCTTAGCCTTGGATCAGTTAAACGAATCTTAAATGAACATTTAAATATGACCAAGGTTTCTGCGAGATGGGTCTCACGTTTGTTGACTCCTCCTCAAAAAGTGCAACGTATGTATTGTTCTCAAGAATTGCTTGGTTTGTATGAAAAGGATGAAACTAATTTTTTTAAAGACTTATAATAATGTATGAGACATGGTCCACCACTACGATCGTGAGTCAAAATGTGCTCCAATTGAGTGGAAATCGTCCTCGTCTCCAACACCAAAGAGGGCAAAGACGCAGCCAGCAAGTGGAATAGTGATGCTTTCAGTTTGTGGGGACCAAGAAGGAGTAATTTTAACTGACTATCTTGAAAATGGACTTACGATCACCGGAGACCATTATTCTAACCAGCTAACCAGCTAACCAGCTAACCGAGAGGCTATGAAAGAAAAACGAAGAAGAAAGATCCGAAGAGGCATTTTGTTGCTTTTCGACAACGAGCCAGCACACACTCCATGAAAAGCTGCAGAAAGTGCGCGAGAAAGTGGCTATGAAATTTTGCCACATCCATCCTATTCTCCAGGTTTAGCCCCGTCCGACTTTTTTCATTCTACAAACTAAGAAAGGATTCAAAAGGAAGGAATTTTAAAAAGTGGTGATGATGTCAAAGAGGCGGTAGATGGCTTGTTTTCTGACAAATAGAGGGTCTTTAATTTTCAAGGTCTTTTCAAGGTCATGTATCGATGACAAAAATGTATAACGTTAAGAGGTGGCTAGATAAAGAAAGATTAAAGTTACTGCTAAATTACAGCTTTCTGCTTTTATTCCTTCATGGTCAGGTAAAAAAACAACAACTTTTGGTTTGCCCCTCGTATATTTCTCTCATAAAGATTTCAATCTTTTGTATTTTTACGACTTTTGTGCTTCTAGTGCCCAGCAACTTTTACGCCTCTTAAGTAACCCAATAGTGTTGATAGAGGCGTTAAACTTATACCATTTCACCATTTTTTCAACAACCCTTACTTTGGAACGAAAAATAAACAAGTTTTGTCATCTCTGCCACAGGTGGCACTCCATTGGTCTTCAGAGGGTCAGGGGTCAATGAGAGCGAGTTCGTTGTGGGTGGAGAAGACGCTGATATAGCTGACCACCCCTTTCAAGCAGCCTTATTGGTGAGGCCTTTTGAAAGACATTATTCACTAAATTATGTATTGTCAATTAAATACTTCTTCTTCTTCTTCTTCTTCTTCTTCTTCTTCTTCTTCTTCTTCTTCTTCTTCTTCTTCTTCTTCTTCTTCTTCTTCTTCTTCTTCTTCTTC